TTCAATTGTTAGGAAAATATCAAAGAATGAAAAATGGATAAGGTACTGACACGATTATAGTTTTCTTCTTTAAACAAAGGCGGTCATTAATTTTTTTCCTAGTAAAATACTGAGTTAGAGACCGTGAACTTGATTTTAAGCTGCTGGCGTTGAAGTAGCAATTTCCTTTTTCTCTTATTATCTTGAGTGTTTCTAAATTTGTTTGTTTAATAGTTTATCAACGAGGTATATTACGCTCGTTGAGGTTGTGTTGTTCGCGTATCTGATGTGAACAATTGTCAACTGTAAGTTTAAAAAAAAAATCGTACCGTTTGGCAGCTCTTTTCCGAAAAAAACAAAAAAACAGAAACGGAAACAGAAACAGAAACAGAAACAGAAACAGAAACAGAAACAGAAACAGAAACAGAAACAGAAACAGAAACAGAAACAGAAACAGAAACAGAAACAGAAACAGAAACAGAAACAGAAACAGAAACAGAAACAGAAACAGAAACAAAAACAAAACAAAAATTCTAACACTTTTTAGATTAATTGACTTTTGTAGGGGTTCAAATGTAGGTTTTTGTAGTCTTAGACGTTTATTGGGATGTCATGCAACACTCCCCCAAAACTTTCTAAGCATAAGTAAACCATTGAGAGCCCTCCATTGTCGAAGAACCTTTCACGCCAATTTTGATTATCGAAATTATTCCAATTCATCATAGTTTTTTTTTCTTTCTCTCTTTCAATCGTATTCCGCGTTTGATAATGTCACAAATCCAGAAAGCAGCGCTTGAAGAGACTTTCTATCGATCCTGTTAGTTCTATGTTCAGATTTCTATGAGCTTGATTCTTACTAGAATGGTCAGCGGTCATCATGGGAGTCGGACGTGCTTTTGCTCGCTCTCTCAAAATTTTTTGACAATTTTTTGCGCTAGAGACTTGTTGCACCTCAAGAGATGTTTAATAACCGAAGTGAGTTGCTTGCCTCCACGATCGAATGGAAAGTGCTCGGCGCATGGTGAGATCACCAACTTGTGCCACGCTTTTGTAAAGCGTTCTGGTTTGGGCAGCCATCTTGGTTTTAAGCTTGTTCCCAAGCGTAAGAAGCACTTCTTCCTTCGCAGAATCTACCATCACTGCAATTCAACTGCTTCTTTTCAACTGGATAATTTAGCCCTCTTTGGAGATGTTCATCCTTATCCAGGTTTTGACCCTGAAGTAAGTTTAATCAGGACAGAAATACGCAAACTATAAGTAAACGTAAGAACATGCTGGTTCATTTAGATGCAAGAAGCCTTCTTCAACATATCCATGAATTGAGATTGATCTTTATCAAAGTATTTCCTCCCATCATTGCTATAACTGAAACCTGGCTGGACAATTCTATCGAAGACTCTGAAATAGCAATTCCTAATTACTCAGTAGAGCGTTTGGACTGAAAAGACAACCGTCGTGGAGGAGATTATTGGAATTTCTTGCTGCTAATGAACTAGAACAAATAATTAAAGAACCCACTCGTGTTACTTGTAACACAAGATCTTATTGATTTACTCGTTACGTCTACCCCAAGTCTGTTCAAATCTTCAGGAGTTCTTAGTAAAACTATAAGTGATCATTACCCTATTTTTGGACTTATGAACGGCCCAGCAATTTGTCCACATAAGCATCGCATCTTGACAACGCGGACTTGGAACGACGAAAGTAGGAAAAATTTCATCAATGACTTAAAGAAAACTCCTTGGACCTTTCTTGAGTTTTTCGATGACGTGGAGGACATGTATTCCGCCTGGGAGTGCTTGTTTAAATCATTAATTGATTCCCACTTTCCTATCAAAAGGAAAAGACTCCGAAAGCAAACGCACCCATGGTTAGACAACTCTGTGCTACGAATGATGAGAACCCGGGACAAGGCGCATAAAAAGGCCATAAGAACTGGTCTCACTGAAGACTGGCAAAAATATAGGCGACTCCGTAACCAAGTAACTAGCAGTAACAGGAAAGACATAAAAGCCTATTTTTAGAATAAACTTCAAGAAAATCGAGCTAACCCTAAAGTCTACTGGAATACACTTTATCAAGTCCTTCCATCAAAGGATAGGAGCACCATATTTGAAAAACTATTGATAGATGGTAACCAAGTGACTAACAAGACAGCTATAGCGAATTCACTAAATCAGTATTTTACCACGATTGCATCTACATTGTTGGCAAATCAACCTCCCCCAGAACCGCAACCAATAAAGCCATCGCCATCTAAGCTCTTCAAGTTTAAACCTTTATTGGGTTCAGATGTGTATATGGCTCTGAAGACAATAAACCCCAGTAAGGCCACTGGTGCAGACAACATCTCGGCTAAGTATTTGAAGATCGCTGCACCCCACATTAGTGGAACTTTAACCAAGATATTTAACAAATCGTACAATTGTAGCCGATACCCATCTGCATGGAAGATCGCAAAAGTAAGTCCTGTTTTTAAGGGGGGGTCAAAGGCAGAATGCGATAATTACAGACCAATATCTGTGCTTCCGTGTATTTCTAAGATACATGAATCTCTTACAAACAAGGCCCTTGTTAATTATGCACAAGAAGCTGGTCTGATAAAACAACACCAATTCGCATTTAAGAAACATTCATCATCTATGGTTGCCCTAATTCGAGCTGTAGATTCATGGAAAATGGCTATTGACAGATCAGAAAAAGTAGTATGTGCGTTTTTGGATTTAAAGAAAGCCTTCGACGTTGTAGACCATAATGTCTTGCTACAGAAGCTTGCTCAACATGGTGTGACTGGCAAGGAACATGAGTGGTTTGAAAGCTATCTGTCTGGAAGACTCCAGTTTGTCTCATGTGATGGAACTGATTCCGAACAATTGACGATTACCTATGAAATACCGCAAGGTTCTGTGCTAGGCCCGACTCTATTTAATATTCATATAGATAGCATTTCAGACGTTAGTGATAGCTGTGATATTGTATTGTACGCCGACGATACAGGAATTCACACCAGCTCTAAAGATGTTAAAATTGCTGAACAGTATGTAAATGAAGATCTTGGAAGAGTTACCCATCGGCTCAGTACTGATGGTCTTATCTGCAATCACAAGAAATTCGAAGCAATCCTGATTGGATCAAAACACGCAGTGAAAAATGCTTCAGACTTACAAATCATTATGGATGGGAGGCTACTGAAACAGTTTGAAGACTTAAAATATTTAGGTGTTTATATAGATAATACTCTTAGCTGGAACAAGCATATTACATATTTAGCCTCTAGGATATATCCCAAGCTTAAGGTGTTAAGTAGAATTGCACCCTTTCTTAGTCAAAGAGTGCTTTTAAATATCTATAAACAAACGATATTACCCATAGTAGACTATGGCTGTATCGCAGGTAATTTAGTGTTAACAACTGAGTTGAAAACGTAAATTAGTCACCGTAAAGGGTAAAAAAGCTGACGTTTCGAAGGGCTAACGTTCGAAACGTCAGCTTTTTTACCCTTTACGGTGCCTAATTTACGTTTTCAACCAAGTTGTTAACACTAAATTACCTGCTATACTCTCCCACCGACGCAGCACCACAGTTTCTTTAGAAACTTACCCCTTTATTCATATGGCTGTATCGTATGGGGGCACTGTGGAAAGAACAACTCACAGCGTTTAGAAAGGTTACAAAATCAGGCCGTGCGTACTATCCTCTCTACAAATCGTAATACATGTTCTCAAGAAATGCGTAGTAAGCTTTCCTTATTATCATTGGAGAGTAGACGTAGATTCCTAAGACTTAATCTTGTTTTTAAGATTATACATAATATAAATTGCCCACAGCAATTAGAGAACTATCTCCTTAAGAGATCAGCCTTTCATACCAGAGATTTTAGAGACTCTACCTTATTGAACATTGTTGCTACAAAGACCAAAATGGGTCAAACGTCATTTAAATGTACTGCTGCTAGGGAGTGGAATCTTTTACCAAAGGACATTCGAGAGATACAGTCTTTATCTAAATTTAAGGCGATAGTTTTTGAACATTTTTTAGAACACAATAAATCTGATCATTTATTTAGTTTAAAATAAGTATCAGCTTTTCTATATATTTTATGTTATTTTAATTCATACTTTAGTTCTTTATAGGGTTTCTCCTTTGATTTTGATTGATACTATTTATCATGCTGATCACTAGTTCATACCAGCCAATCTATTAGATTGCTGATTAGTCTTATCAGTTGAAATAAAGCTTATTATTATTATTATTATTATTATTATTATTATTAGAAGCTTTTAAAAAGAACAAGCGAGAAATGCGGGAAGTCTTGTATTATCTGTTATCGATATTCACAATGAGAGAATACATCTTATTCCCTATATCTTCGCTGATGCGAAATGAGATTTGTATTGTTTGGTGGTAAAAGATATCATGTGTAGAATGAAATAAACCACATTTTATGTACCACGAATATTATCACAGTTCAAATAACAACCAGTGCTACTACTTTTTGTCTCGAAAGTGAGACAAAGAAAAATTATCCAGATTTCGCGCTGCCAAAATAGGTCAAGAGTATACTGCATGAAAAGGTTAAAAAAGAGATGGTGGACTTTCTCGTTTTTTTTTTCTTTTTTTTCAAATCAGGAACCCCTCATACACTTGGACTTAGCACATAACGCTCTTTATAGTTCAACAGTGTGGCATTGAAATTTAAAATTCGAATATCTGTAGTTCGTGTCCTCTTGAGGAAATTAAAGCTCTTTTATCTTTTTTTCCTTTTACCCACGCTCATGACAGAACAATTAACATGTTTTTTTCCCAAATGACCCGCTTTGAATTTTTCCTTAAATAACTGATCTTAATTAATTTAGTAAATATACAATTTTTATTTTATCGCCGTTAAGTGATGACATCTTGTCAGACCTTTTAGGAAAATGACCTTGATACTAGGGGTCAATACATTTGAAAAAGGAAAGGAAAGTTTCATATAACTGAGCACAAAAATACGCGAATTACATTTCTTGTTTATTGCCCACGTTTACATTACTTTGAAAGGAAATGGTCTAGTATAATGAAAACAAAACTATTTCTAAGCTTAGCTAGGGTTTAAATAGTATTTCTTTGTCATGGCAATCCATTACTACAGAGAAGGATTCAAAATGAAATTTTTCTTTTAGTCTTCGAGTTCGGACGGTCCCCATAAATCTGTTAATATAAAAGGATCCAATATTAATGAAAGACAAATTTATCAATCAAAGGGAGAATGTAGGGTACCTTGGTGTTCAGTAGATGTATAATAAATGTCTTTAATTGTAAAGGTGAGGATAACCTATGAATGGGTTTTATTCAATGGTTCAGTATTTACTATTGCTTGTGCAACCGTATAGCGTGAAACAGTTAAATAACTCAGTCGCATGAAACCATACATTAAATAAGTACCAATTAATTTGGAATTACTGGTGCGTTGTTTGTTAGGAGGAAATGGGGGAGGGGGGTGAAACTACGAAAACCATTAAACCAATTTTAAATCCTTCGGAGTGGATAAGGGAAAAGGAAACAAACTGCATCAAAATGTGACACTGGGTAAGGTAATCAAACCAAGGCCAATCATGTGAGAGTTAAGAACCCTCAACAAAGCTTCACCCCTACTGAATGGATTACTATATTTGAAGGAAAGTTATTTGGAGCCAGCTGAGGACTTAACACGTACTGACCTCATGGATATCAACTGTTTGACATACTTTAGCCATTTCTACGCCGACGGCGCACTCCTGAATGGCGGCGGCGCCGCAATAGGGCTCGTCCTACTTTTGGACGGATGAGAGACCCGCGGGGGCGCCCTTTACGCGATTTGGGGTCCGGTGATCCTTCCTCGCCTTCGTTATCGTCTTTTTCATCATCGATGTCAGCTTCTGGTTCGTTTTTATAGAAGCCATAATCCTCAGCATTCCAATTTATGTCACTTAAAATAAAAAAATAAATAAATAAATAAAATAATGGTAAGCCTTTGTAAATTAACATATTCAGATGAAAATAGATTATTAACAGTTTTTAATCTCCTGTGGCTGCTGTATCCTTTTACTCTATGATAAAGCCAATTAACCCAGCTAGTCATTTAGTTCAAAATGCCACCATTTTGTTATATTACGGTACGGTGCAAACGATTATCGTCGTTATTGCGATAATTCCGATATATCGGCAATATTTGTACAATATTTCAGTTGGAATGATAGATCGGCGATGTATCGCAAGGCTATTGTTCCAACAGCCGTTACAAGTCGCTGATCCATCGTCAAGCTCCAAGCGAATAATAGTTTTCTCTTAGCGATATATCCTTTCAGCCGAATGATATATATCGCTTCAGCTCGCCAATAATTTCGCCTCCTCGATGTATCGTTTACATCGAACGAGCTATTTATGCCACCCAATGATGTCTCGTTTGAACTGGGCAATATATCGTTCCAGCCTAGCGACATATCCTTCCTGTCACCTAGATATCGTTACCTCCAAACGTTCGAACGGTGAGGCAACATCGCACTTTTCGTCGCATTTCCCAGCAGACGTGCACTTTCGAAGGTTTATCCAATGCGAGAGAAGTCATCTCTCAAATAAGCATAGTTTTTGGGAGTATGATGAATTTACGTCGGTTATGCTGGATTTTCCCCACAAGTTCGCTACACATATGCAAGTTCATTACCTCAGCTAACCAACTTGGCTAACACACAAAGAATGACAAATCCTTAGAAAGACTATTTCAACATTTTATTTACTGATAGAGCTGACTAATTTGTTTGTAAAGTTAAGCTATCTTAATTCTCCAAATATTATATAGCTTCTCAGAGCCCTTTTTTGTTTTTTTGAAGTCAAATTCGATGAGGCTGAAATCTCTTCTCACCTGTGTACTTCATCGGTGGTGATAAAATGCGATTTTTAGAGTGAATTTCTACGTTAACTACGGTACCTTAAAGCATCATCAAATTCCGGTTCAAAGCCATCCATAGACTTTTTAGAGACTTTCGTGTTCTTTTCGTTTCCGTATTCAGTAAAAGTAAATGCTAAAGCGATAGCAAGAGTCGCTCCATACACAGCGATAAGGAGGAAGCTGTTCATGGCGAAGTCCTCCCTTCGGGGTCGCAAGCTTGGGTGCATGGTACATTTTGTACCTTTTTATAGCAAGAATAAGATGGTGATTTCCATATCACGTAATCGTCTTAGAGGAGCCTACTTTATCAAGATATCAAGAGTTCCTTTTTACCAATATCGAATTTTGCTTTTTAGAAGTAGCCAATTGTGAGGACGTATTTGACCAAAACATTCCTTCTGGCACGAAAACGTTCCGTAAATTACGCGATATTGGGTTTTCCGAACTTAATATCTGTTCTAAATTCTTAACATATTCATTTTAAAACAATTTTAAAAATGTATGGATCAAAATGGAAACATATTTAATGAGGCATAACAACCGAAAATAGCTTCAGAAAATACCGCAGGCGTTTTATATTGAGCGTCTTCAAACCAAGGAAGACTAGGAACCAAACTTCCCAACAGGCAAGCGAGCCATACTCAGATGTTTGCGCGAAAAAAAGAATATGTCGTTCATTTCAGCGGGTGATGAAGGTGAAAAGAGGTGGATATTTACTAAGCCGCAAAGTGCCGAGATAAATATCCAACACTTTTACCGACACTTTATTTTATTTTATTTTTTTTTTTTTGGTGATTGAATTGTGATAGGCAATGTTGTCTCTTTGGCTGCTTGGAGGCGAATAGTGCTTGTTAATCACTTCCGAACCAGCCAATCAACGCGCGTGAAAAGCACTATTCACTCGACGGCTATATACTATGATAATATATCACTTCATTCCAAGAAACTGGATGATGTCATGTTATCGACTTAAATGATGTAAAGTACAAATTCATTTAACATATCCAACCAGTATCAGAAATATTTCTAAATGTTAGTTTTAGTTTCTGGTGTCACTTTTTACCCTAAGGCGTTCTAAACACTTCTTACCACTCTTGATTTTAAAGAGGACGTATATTGCTTGACCGGTCATTACCCTAACATGGAGAAGGAAGTGCTAATAAAGGCCCGTTCTCTGACTGTCCATATTGTGAACATTACTTCACTTGCAAGGCACAAGAACGACGCAAGCGTTTATACTGTTTGTTTGTTTCATAAACATTTTATGGTTAGAATGACAATTCATGTTCTTAAAGAGCTAAAAAGAGGCTAGCTTTAAAGCTTTGAGCTATATATATTTCCCGTGTTTATTATTATATTTTTTTATTAGAGTATGTAACAGCAAAACACGCACATAATATTGTTTAAGGAGTCGCCAAATATAGGTGCACTATTTTACAGTGATAAATAATGTCACGTCCACATTTGGGTCGTGCTTAGGCAGATTTCTGCATTCGGGTATCTCTAAATTAAGGCTTCAGACTAATAACAGAAGAGGACGATATTCTGAAAAATAAACTAATTCTCCCAGCCAAGGCACGAATATTTTTGGCGTTCAGTCCGTTAGTCTTTCCACTTCCTGGTAGCCTTAAGTATATGGTGTGAAAAATATTTTCTCGACTATTCAGTCACGATCACCTCGGCCTGAAAACGAAACTTTATGTCAGGTCTATTTTTGGCGCCGGTTACCTTTGGTCTTCTATATATTTCGCGATTATAATGATATTATTAGGATACTTAGTAACTCTGATTATGTATTCCGACTTCCGACCTCCAAGAGAAAATGAAGACACGCTATTCTGCAAAGAAACGAAGAAGGAAGGAATGAAAAATGCAAGACCAAACAAGATTTTTCCAATCAAGTTCGCTTCTCGTTGCAATTTATTCTGTCAGCTTTCTTTTTCAAAAATTTTGATATCAATAAATGCTAATGATAATTAAGCGTCGATGCCCTTTTTTTCCTTTATGTCGTATTTTGATGAGCCCACGTCGGAGACTCGTACGCCGTGGTGCACGGTGCATTTCATATCCTTCGATTTTAGGTACAAGTGATCGATGTTCATATTGTTTTCGAGCCCTCAGAGCCTTCTTTATCGACAGATAAATTGCTCAATCACGAATTTATTTGAGACACTGATATTCATGAGCGCACTTTCTCAGTGTAGTTAACAATATCACGCCCAGGAGCTTGTTTGCATCATGATTTAGCAGATCTCTACTTCTGGGGATCTCTGATTTCAAGAATTCAAAGAGGTCAGTACTGATAAATAAGAGAAGAGGGCGACAATCTGAAAAAAATAAACCTCTGCCAGCCATCACACTGGTTATCAATCTTTAAGCGTATCGCGGAAAATCAATCTCCTCAACTTTTCAGTCATTTGGCTTGAACAATGGAGTTTTTTGTCTAAAAAAGATCTATTTTCGTCTCCGACCGCCTTTGGTAATTCTCTGATTATGACTTCCCACTTCCGCTTAAGTTGTCCAATCGTCAGTTGGTACGACTTACAACAGTGATACTCTCACGATCGATCACACCACAAAAATGAACTGTTTCTCTGACATGCATGTTCAGGCCATATACCCTACAATATGCTCATGTTGCACATGTTTATGGGCCTTTAAATCCCATATATAATTCATGAAATACTTTTTAATGATAAATTGAATAAGAAAGAAAGTGTAATACATTATCTTAAAATGTATTGGATTTGTATGGACGCAAAGTTGTAAGAAAATGTTAAAGAATGAAAAAAGTTTAAGGTACCGACGAGAGTATAGTTTGCATCTTTTGAGGCGACCGTTGGTTTTTTTTTTCCCCCGGTAAAATATTGAGTCATAATGTGAACTCGATAATAAACTGTGAGTTTCAATATTCTTTAGTTGAAGGAAATTTAATATTAGAGAAAATAAAGGAGTGTCAAAAAAGTTCCCCCTTAATTGAAGCAAGTGTTCCCATGCCAAAAGGTGTTCCGTGTTGACACGTTTTGCTGCAAAGAGGAGAAGGAGGGGAAGTGAAAGTGGCAAGCAACTATCGAATATTTCACCAATGAAGTTCTAATCTCGTCGCAGTTCAGTCTGTCAGCCTTCATTTGAGGTGACATGGGCTATTAAAAATTAAATTAAATTAAAATTCAATTCAATTCAATTCAATTCAATTCAAATCAAATCAAATCAAATCAAATCAAAATTAAATTAAATTAAATTAAATTAAATTAAAACATCAATAAATAAGGATGGAATAAATCAGCGTCGATGCCTTTCTTCCTTTATACCGTATTTTTTGAAGAGCCCAAAGAACGTGTAACAATACTCGGTGATTCTTCACACCAAAACTTTTACGAAGGTGTTCATTATCCGACTACTTATTTTAGGTACATTATAATGCAGGGAAAGAAAAGCAAATCGAGAAGCAGTTTGTGACAGGTACTGCGTAACGCTTGCATATCGAATTGCCTTTTTACAGTACAAAATGATCGATTGTAGAAATAACCCGTACAATATCGCGGGGTATTTGAACTCGATTCGTGCTTTATTATTACTATAAATAATTCAGGTAAGCCGGATAATAAAATGTTATGTTGATATGGTCACCAGATAAAAAAAATGTCATTGCCTGTACATGTTTCCAAAATGGATGATGTTATAAAAAGACTGATATATAACAGTAAACTAATTCTCTTTATGCACTCACCTTACATTATAAAGCCTTATAAACTATGGTCATTATTTATACAATTCACTCGCCTCTTGAAACCGGTCTGTTCATTGGGAAAAGACAAAGAGAAGAACAACACTTCTTGTTAAACATTTTAATCCAGTGTTTTTTTCAATGTTCTAGCTACTGCAAAGGCTCCAGAATGAAAAGGATATTTAGTCATTGACGTACGTATCTGAAGTGTCTTTTTCTGCTGTTAAACTCTGTTGTTTATGTAGTGTATGAGGTCATTTTACTGATAGATAAACACAACTGCAAAGAGATTACTCTGCCATATTTGAATTGCTGTCTCGTCTTTGTTCTATTAGGCGTTCAAAACACTTCTCGCAATTGGTACTCTTGATTATGATGCGGAAATATAATGTCTTGGTCATTCATTCAATGTGTTCGAAATTTCTTAACTTGTGTGGCGTAAGAACGATGCAAGGTTTGAAAGTGTTTATTCTCCCTGAAATATGCAGCGTAATTATGACAATTCACCTCCCGAAAGAGTTAAATAGAGAGTAACTTTGAACAATTACAGCAAAATCTTTCGCCTGTTTATCACTATAAAGTGTTTCTAATTTTTTTCTTTTTTTTTTTTTACAGGTCCTGATATTCTTGAAATGCTCGGGAGTATTTCGGCCATCATGATATCCAAGTGAACTTAAAATAATCGCCTCCTGGTCTCCTGGCCTCATGAAACAGTCAAATGAAGGAGCCAAACTAAAAGCCCAACCAAGGAAAACAAAAGAAACCTCCGCCTTCTTGTAATGCAACACACCTGAGAGCACTTTCTGAAGACATCCATCTGCGCTGGTTTCTCTGAGAAAGTGCCCTATTGAAAGCTATCCTCCCTTTCAAACTCACCATCTTGAAAGTTGAATCTGGCACAAAAATCGTTATCAGATCCAGTCCCTCGCGTTTTTTCTATTAGGTGTCAGGACAAGAATGTAGCGGCGCCTGAACCAAGCTTTAGCAATTTAAATTCATGCACTTAATAGGACTACGAGCTTTTCTTTATAGGTCCTGATACACTTGCAATACTCGGGAATATTTCGGCAACCACAATATTCCAGTGAACTTAAAATAATTGCGTGCTGGCGATAAACTCTATCACGGAACAATCAAATGAAGGAGTCACTAATTAAGAGCGCACTTATTAAGAGTGGCTAATAATATCACGGCCACATTTTCTTCCCAAAAATGCTACATAGAGGATGACTATAAATAAATATAAATATACGTATGGTAGCTATGTTTTTGAGCAGTTATTGCTATGAGAGACACAGAGGACCCGCTGAAATGAACGACATATTCTTTTTTTCGCGCAAACATCTGAGTATGGCTCGCTTGCCTGTTGGGAAGTTTGGTTCCTAGTCTTCCTTGGTTTGAAGACGCTCAATATAAAACGCCTGCGGTATTTTCTGAAGCTATTTTCGGTTGTTATGCCTCATTAAATATGTT